CATGGTTCACAGATGAAGCTTGCTTTACTACAAAATATTCAAATGGACTTCTTTTTTTTTTTTTTTTTTAGAGGTTTTTCACTGTAGGGCGCGTGCGCTCGCCAGACAGACAGAGAGAGACATAGAGACAGAAAGCGAGAAATCACCCCCCAGAGGGGATGGTCACGCCGCAATCCCTTCTCCTCCATTCTCCTCTCGGGATCTTGGGTACGCACGCACACGCGCCCGGCGTGAGTTTTAAGCCACCGGGTCCAGGACACGAACCGCGGTTGACTACGTGGGAGTCCAGCGACACAGCCATTATGCTAACTACTAGTTCCCTCAAATGGACTTCTGATCACACAGGATGGTGCAGATCCATTTTTTCCACCTGCCTCTTCCTGCTACGTACAACTTAAAATTCTAAAATGACACAAAAACAAATGAAAGAGAATTCTGAATGATGGTGACAAGAATATGAGACAGTTTTGAGATGCCAGGAATAAACCTTCAGTATGCTCCAAAATACCTAATGTGTCCCCACCCAAGAGGAGACATCAAGAACTATTGTTTCTGACCACACAACCTAGTAACAGAAGACAGATCAAAGAGGCTCTTTCTTCCCCTGGATAAATCAAGAGTCACTTGAATGAGATACATAGTAATGGCGAGGAGAAATAGTGCCTTCCCAGTCAGGTCTGAGTAAACCTCTCTACCAAGAAATTTCAAGGGAGGAAAACTGCACTGGCAAGAAGAACCTAGCATAGCAAGAGATGTGGTCTAGGAAACATTTTGTCCCTACAGGCCTAAGATTCTCCTCTTCTTCCCATAAAGGTAGTCAGGAGATACCAGAAAGGAGATTAGAAAACACCCTTCACTATAAAGATAGCCAGTAATCTGCCTTGGAGGAACCTCTCAACACTAACAGGCACCAGTACAATTACAAGAACACCACACAAACTAAGCAAGCCAGGATAACAACAAGCTCCGAAAACTTAGCTGGTATTAGAACCACGACCCAGAAAAGGAAGCCAAACAGTTTGGCCTTTGACAAACTCAGTTCTCCCCACTTTCTTGCTTAAAGTTCTCAATAATTATAAAACATGCTGAGAATGTAATATTCTAAGACAGGGATATTCTGCCCGGAACAGGAGTCCTGCAGTTCTTCCCAGTGGAAGCAGGAGGTTCTGCAAAGCTGTAGCCCAGTGTTTCGTTTTGCATCTGAACATACGAATGAGTAGACAGCCTGTGCTGCAGGTGGGGTATGCGTAGTGGAGACACCATATTCCCTGAGTAGCTCTCTTGAGATGTGGGGAACTGGCTCATAATGGATTCTCATACTTTGCTGGTGAAAAGGGAAAATGATACAGCCACTTTGGAAAACAGTTGTCAGTTTTTAAATACTAGATATGCAACTACCATATGACTTAGCAATTACACTCTAGGGAATGTAGTTCAGCATAATGAAACTCGTTTCCACAAAAATCTGTATGTGAATGCTTATAATAACTTCATTCGTAAGAGCTGAAAAGAATCAGTGAGTCAGGTGAATGGTTAAATAGTGGTGCATATATACTAGGGACCATGAAACATAATTCAATAATAAAAAAGAACAGAAATACTGATACACGCAACAACTTGGATGAGTTTCCACAGAATTACGTTGAATTAAAAAAAAAAAAAAGCTCAGTTAAAGGCCCAGTCTAAATGGCACCGTCTGTAGCATACAAGACTGCAGTGCTGGAAGCCTTATGCCAGCCACGGGTTCAGCTCTCTGAGGTAGCCTAAGAACATGCAGTATGAGATTCGAAGGAGCTGGAGGGCTGGTGACGAGATTGTGACATGACTGTGACATGCTAAGACCCTGTCAAGGGTGCTTTCTCTCTTTTTTTACCCCCCATCTCTCTCTCTCTTTTGAATGTTCATGTGCATTTACTCTCTATCATATAATAATAGAGAAGTCAGTCACACACACACACACACACACACACACACACACACACCAATATGGTAAAACTAGGGAAATCTGAATGAGATTGGTGGGTTATCAATATCCTAGTTTTAAAAATATTACCATTTGGAGAATTTGGAGAAAGTATTCAAAGAAACTCTGTGTATTTATTTCTTATAAATTCATGAGAATATATAATTTGCATGAAGAAATCTGCACTGGATCAAAAACAGTATTATCTTTCTTAGAATTTCTTACCAAATTAAATAATTGCTTTTTAGAATTATCGGAATTTGCCTTCATTCATTCATTCATTTATTTATTTATTTTAGGTCACTGGGAAAATCAGGACAATATTTTTCTGTTTTTTTTTTTATGTGAAAATGCACCATGACTTTCCGGATGACGCACGATTTAAACATATATATGCATATTAAAGTACTAACAGCTGAGCCAGTGAAAATGCCATATTTAGATTCAATAGGGCCAAAATTAGGGAAAGAAGCGATTTATAGAGAAAGTACAATTAATGGATAACAACATAGATAAGCTTGTCAGATCAGGGACCGCCACAGTCCTTAGTGTATCATATCATTTATCCATCCTTAGAATTTGTTTAGGATCTGGCTACTTATTTTTATTATAAAAAAGAGATGCATGGAAACAAAACAAAGGTTGTCATGAGTCTCACAACAACAATAAAATGCACTGATGAAGGCATAAAAGTACAGTTTGTTGCATGCTAAATTGTTAGTTTTAAGAATCAGTGTCCTACTTTAACAGGAAATATATTTAATAGAAATGCAAATAAAAAATATCTGATCAAGGATCTTGATATAGAAAAGAAATAATCACCTCAGTAACTCATAATAAATGAAAATAATGTATGTGGTAAATGTATACTTTATCTCTAAAAGTCTGTGAGGAAATGAAGAGTTGATTTTGTCCCCCATGGGTTAAATATGAAATTGATAGAGGTCAGCTGGTGAGAACTTCTGACAAAATGTTTGTAGGGGGAATATGGAAGACAACATCAGTGTGTCCTGTGAGACTACAAAATAATAATAAGAGTGAGTTTCTGAAGGAAAGTAACAAAAGAAGCATTTTGAAATAATTGCTATTTATTCTTGAAATAAACTTAGAGGTGATCCAAAACTTTATGAATACGTCCTGCCCTCCAAGCCTTCTCCCGAGCATTCTTGAAGATTCATGACTTAAAATTATGTAAATCTAATTATGTTGTTATTTCCCAAGCCAATATGAATCAAATAGACAATTTTAAATCTAAAATTGGTAATAGCTAGGTATTTCAGGAGGATAATTTTAAAAAAATTCAAATCTTAAAATGTTTCTAACTTTAAATATGAGAATAATATTTAATCACTGACCGAATCTAAACTTAGCATCAGTGTTTTGCTTGTACTAAACTTTATTATGGAAAATGGAGCACCTTAACATTGCAGTGCATGCATGCCCGTCATTTTTCTTCATAACCTTCAAACAGGTGCCACTACTAGTTACTGTCTTTGTATCACCTTTGATATACACAGAAAATTAATCAATCTGACCTTCATAGAGGTTAAATGGTTTTCCCAGAAAAAGCCACAATTAGAAAAAGAATCTTGAAACAGAAAAAAATATTTCTACTATAACATGTTTTGCCATGTCTTTGTTATACTTACAAGTCAGCATTATCAAATAAATTCTGAATATAGTTTCACCTCCACTGAGAATTATCTTTGTTCCTATTTTAGCCTTATGCTTTATATACCATTCCACATACTTGATACCTACTACACAGAGCATACTAATTCTGTTCACATTTATTTTAATGCAATTTATTACTAACCTCTCACAAAACATAATGATTAATTTTTATCATCCTCAAATTATGGTTTGGCCAATTTAATTACTGAAAGGTTTATTAACACGGTAGGTGTGTAAATCTGGACTCCAATCCACTGCTCTTAACCTAGGTATTGCATCTCATATATCTATTGTTCACTAAATGCCAGTTACTTTCTAGATGCATGGATTACAGTGTTTAAAATTTAAGAGGAAAACAGCAACTGTGACTACAACAATAGGTCAATAAGCCATGATTTAGGAACTGTTCAGAATTCCTGAGCACAGAAAAATAGCTAAATTTTCAATTTGGGTGGTGGTTTCCTTGAATTTCTGAATCTAGAAAAATTGAATGTCACCTGCAAAGTCCTAAAGAATGAGAAACTTGTCTAAAGGTGTGGCAAAAAGTCCAACTGGAATAAAGAATCAGGTAGGGCAGGGAACACCTACTGCATGTTTAAGCAAGAACTAATCATAGAGTTATTTCTCTTTTGTAATAAAGCAAGCATTTTTTTGTCATGGAGGATTTATAAGAACTTAAGAAAAAATGATGCAATGATAAAACTTTTTTTTTTTTTTTTGCATCAATCACTTTGGCTTTTCTGTGACAACAGATTGGGAAACCATGAGCCTATACAATGGTATCAGTGACTACATCATTGAAGTAATGTAATTTTAAAATGATACTCATGGCTAAATTAAAATATTAATAGTCAGGAAATACAAATAATGAGAATGTGTACTGATATCTACGTCTATATCTGGATCAGTGGAACTAGTTTAGACCAGAAGTCCCTGACCTAGGAAATAATTTGTAATAATATCTGCAGCACCATGAAACTCACAAAATGAACCAAATTTCGCAAAAACTAATGAAGTGGATTTTAAGTTTTGTTGGATTAGATATCCCTTTATGATCTTCAAGAGGAGGAAAAAAAATAATGCCTAGGGTTTAATTTGATAAATACATTGAAATTTAGGGGCAATATCTGAGATACAGATTTTAGGACACCATATAATAGCTGAAAGAATGGGGACAGAGAGCATGATTCCAGGAACATATCTAACAGGAGAAGAGAAAATGGTCAAATACTGAAGCCACAAAAACGGAAATGTCTTAGAGTTGTGGACCCAGTTCATGGTCAACTGGCTACCAAGTGGTCTGAGTGTGCTGACACAGAACACCCATGTACTGCAACTTACAAGAATCAGGTTTATTACTTACTGTTAGGCTGCGGGCGACAAAAGGAACTAGAATCCATCGTGAGTCTGTCCCCAAGGCTCAAGAGTGGTCTGGGGTGAATGGAACCTCATCTGAGTGGTCATCCTTGTACCTCAGTTGAAAAAGCTGGAAAAGTAGCCAATCTAGGTTTTATTTCCTGAGTAAGGAGACACACTGAGCCAAAGTGTTAAAAGGGTATCATATCTCTATAGGGGCAGAGGTGGGGAAAAGACAGGGACTGTAACAGGCCCTAGTTGTTTGAGTCACCTCCTTCTTATTTTTGAGACAATGAAGTCCCAGCACATTTAAAAATATTCTTTTTCTTTATTATTACTTTATACATTCAATTGCATATACGTCATTTAGCTTATAAAGAAAATTTACCCAACATGAAATACACTTCAGACCAGTTCAGTTGAGAATATTATAATCAATAGATAATAAACCATTTCTGTGTTCCTTAAATGTCTTACCTCTCCATTTTTTCTCCCTAATTTCTTTCCCAAAAAAACCTTTCTCCCCCCCTCCCTCCATACTAGCTCCAGTGTCCATAACTATTTTCAATACTTTTATGTCCTCCAATCTTTCAGTCTCTAACATAGAGTACAGATAGGAGGTATGTAAGTGGAGATATAAAAAGTCTCTCTTTCATAACCTGACTTAATTGACTGAGCAATACATTTTCCACTTTCATGGAAGAAGATTTTGTACACTTTCCATCAAGTTCCAGGATCTTCCTGGTTTTTTTTTTTTTTTTTAAGAAATACTAGCAATAGGACTGGCAGGTGATGTCGTGGTTAAGGGCGCTGGACTACAACATGGCCGACCACAGTTCAAGTCCCAGACCTGGTGGCTTGCTTTCTCACTTTCCCTTTCTCTCCCTCTCTCTCTCTGTCCCTCTCTGGTCAAATTGAAATACATACATACATAAATAGTTAAATAAAATAATTCTTAAAAGAAAGAAAGAAAGACAGACAGACAGACAGACAAGCAATACAAGCAAGAAAGTGAGAAGAACTGGGTAGGTTCAGACTACCTAGAGAACTATCTCCCAGTGGTCATGTTGAGGAAGATTAGCTTCAAATCAAAATTTTAAGAAGTAAAAGATGATACAGAAAGGAACAACAATAATGACAGTAACTAGCAATAAATAACAAGAAAACTCTCATTCAGCTAATGTGTCAGACACAGGTTTAAGTGCTTCACATGTACCAGTCTATTTAATTTTCAGAATAAAAAACCCTTTTCCCCTTTGCTATTCAAATATTAATTTGTTTACTCTATGAAGGTATCCAGTTTATGTAAGTAGTGGTGTTCCTTAATTTTCAAATGAAAAAACTGTGATACAGAGAGGTGTGTGTATGTGTGTGTGTATACAAATCTTATAAACAAATCTACCAGGAGTCAGTCACAGGGACTCCACACTAATTACCTCCCAAAGACTCGACCTCTTAATCTCATAGTCAGATTATATGTGATAAAATACACACACATATATATACACACATATACATACACGTGTGTATATACACACATACACACATACATATATACACATACACACATACATACATGTGTGTATATATATATACACACACACGTGTGTGTGTGTGTGTAATTATGAGGAATTGATAGTTCATACCCTGGTAATCTGATTCAAAAGATGACATTCTTCTCTATTAGAGGAAAATGCTTAAAGTCGAGTGTGATCTTGCTGAAGGCAAAGGGAGAGTCTGTGGAGATGAAGGAAAGGAAAAGATGCAACTACTGTTATAGAGAGGATGCTTAGCAAGAGAATGAACTGTTGCTGTTTTAGTCTGTTGTATTGCTTAAAACAGAATATCTGAAATGAGGCAATTTATAAGAATAGCTCATGGTTTTGGAGGCCCAAGGTCAAGGGCTCCTTCTGGTGAGGGTCTTATTATTTGTGGGGTCCCAAGGTAGTATGGTGCATCATATGGCAACAGCTTGAGTAAAGCATCCATCTGTCTCATTCCTGC